ACAGTGGATTAGCTCTACAATACCCGTAACAAAAGCACAACAGCTGATGCATGTGATGTTAGGAGGTGACAAAACAGTTAAAGTATGCTGCTGGCTACAGGCAAGCAGTCAGCAGATGCAGACAAAAGGGTTTGTGACAAGAATAACTCTCTCTCCAAGGCGAGCAGTCAAGAGTATCCAAAATACCAATACCCTTTTCTCCTTGACATTGTCTTCTTACAGTCAGCATTTTATTGCCCTTTTATAGTAAAAAAACAAAACACAATTCTCTGGAATATTGGTTTTAACTTGACTTTCACAATTCTGTGATCTTTACGTCTGTATTGCTTTTTCTATCCTCTAGATTTACCACTTGAGCAAGAATTTTTGAAAGTTTAAAAGATTAACTGTGAAGAAGCCCACCCTTAATAGGATTAATGACATGAAATACACATAAAAATCTTTGAGCAGACCAGTGGCTTGTTTTGTCATTTGAGTTTGGTGGTTTTCCCCTTTTCTATTAAGGGAGAATTAAGCATCTTATTTTGCTAATGAAGAAATAAGGCTTGGGTAGAAATTAAAGGTTTGCTTGACAATGGGAGAGATATAGGTGCTGGAAAGGGACTGTGAATGAGCTGATGTTTATTTCAGAAGTGTGAAAAATCAGCTTATATATCTCCAGAAAAAAAAAAAAAGAGAGAGAGAGAGAGGCTGTCTTCTTTCTAACCTTTGTAATTCCCCTTCTATTCTCTGTGACATTCATTCAGCTGCCAAGCATGTTTGGCAAGGCTTGAGCCAGTGAGCGCACTTCCAGTGACCGCTAACCTTGGTATGTCCTGACACTTATGATGAGTATCTGCAGGACACAGAAGGCAGGCAGGCTGCTATGTCAGGCTTTTATTATGTACTGCAGAGGCTGGGGACAGTCAGTTTAATAAAACAAATCATCCTTGAAGGTAAAGCAACTGGGAAGAGGAGGAGGAGGAGGGCTCAGGGAGGGGAGGAGATGAGGGGAATGGGAGGGAAGGGAGAAAAAGTCTTTGCTGCACAACCCAAAAAATAAATGAATTAACTGATAAAAGATACAAGACACAAGACAACCCAGGAATGAGAAAAACAGTGAAGGGCCACTGATCGGCCACCAACTTGAGACACATGTCTACTTCTAGCGTGCCCTCCTTCCCGCCGGTGATTTTTAAAATCCATGCATGCCATCAGAAAGGGAAGCCTGATCCTCTTTGTTGGCTTGAAATCAGTGTTGCTTCACTGATTTTCCTCGAGCAACGCTGACTTAGACCTGCTCAGGATCTGCTCTTACCTTCCCAATCACCGCTGCCTTTTTGGTAACATTTTTCTTAAAAAGAAATTCAACAAGTATTTTTAAAGCATATCGCTTTCTGCAACCATGTATGCTTCTGTACGAAAGAAGTGTGAGTTAGGTCTGACTTGGCTCCAACTTTTGAGCCATTGGAATTATACTTTTACTCACATATACAAATAGTTTGTGCTGAGTATTTTTAACAAAGCACTCCCCCACAGTGCTAATCCAAATGGTTCAGCATGATAGTTGCACATGCAAACCCAGGAGTGAAATAATTCAAGTTTGTTGTTCAAGCCAAGGAAAATGCCAGAAGTTAAAACAGCATAAATAGACAAGAGCAGATGAGAGCTTTAATTTCCTCCCAGTTTTCATGGACGAAGGGGATGTGTTAACTTGGCTAAGGCTTGAGAAGGGGCACTGTGGTGGTTGTTGGACTGTGTTAGGAGGTATGGGACCGATGCATACCAGGTGTAAATCAGCAGTACTGCACTCAGCTGGTAGAACCCTGCTGATTTACACTAGCCCAAAGTTTGGCCTGTGAGTTTTTCCTTGGCAGTGGAGCTAAGTTGCATTGACAAGGCATGCAGCAAAGTGTGATTTCTTTCTAAATCAGTCCAATGTGGAGGCTTCAGCCCCAAACCCACCTAGCCTCCCCCTGAGCAGACCTCATTGTCTTTCCTCCTGGTGAATGTACAGTGTGATTCTTTGATTGACTGCTGCCACCTGATGCTAAGAAAATGTCCTGGGTTCATACTAGGGATTGTTGGTTCTATTAAAAGCAACGTAGATGGAGTTTATTTGTCACTGAAGCATTTTCTGCAGATGTTCCTACTTCAGAGATGTTCAGTCAGTTAGGTGTAAAGATGCGCTGAATAGGTCACCATCACTTAGGGTCAGGGAAATGCCAGCCCCAGACACATAATTAACATGGCTGACTGATTAATTGCCCACTGAAAAATATAACTACCCATCCATTTAAATATTTATTTTCAGGCTCTGGACTTCACTAGTATTTTCTTTATTAAAAAAAAAAAAAACCAAACCACAACTAAAACCCACTGCCGTTACTCTTTCTAGAAAGGAAAAATGTTGGCCGACGTACTATCCTGTGGGGATTAATCACAGTGCTATTCACATTACAACATGCAAAGTAACGTGTGTAATCCAGTCTGACATGAAAAATTGCTAATAACATCCCAAAAGGAAATGGCTATGAACGGCTCTAATGCCTGAGGAGTAGGGGAGATCTTTGGGAACTTGGCATTACAAGGAGGTCTCTTCAAAGCCCCTGCAGGTCTTTGTTCACTATTATGGTCTTTGCAGCCAGTTGTACTGGGTTCAAAGGGGCCCAGCCCTGTAGATGGGACTCGGGTACAATCAAGTCAGACTTTGCTAACTTCTAGCCTAAAAGAAAAGCCTGTGTGTCTTTATGGGGGTGGGAGGCCTGGAAGCTAGTGGCTCAGAGGTTTCACGCTGCCTCCTCCATGGAAAAGCAGCATCCCCTACCTGGAAAACTTTCATATGCACAGGCAGAAAATGAATGGGAAAGGCTCAACTTAAAAGCCACATTGTCACTTCCATGCATGAAGTTGTCATATAGGGAGAGGTGGGACTTTTTGCATTTGGAACTTCATGCTCCTCATGTAGGTTATTGTAATTGCCTCCCTCCCATCTCCAGTGACTTGGAAGGGAAGAAAGGCATCTAATGTTGGTCCTCTGGAGTGGACACCAAAATTGAAAGGCATGAACTCTTCTTCCTAAGCACAAAGGCAGAAAACAACAGGTTTTGCCCTCCTGAGCTGATATAAGTGTGTATACCAAAAAGTTGGTTATCATCTACTACATTTCTTGCTTTCTAGCATCATGTAGTCAGCAACTCTTTA